GAAGTTCGAACTCAATTTGTTGGCTCTCTTAAAGTTTTACGAAGTGATAATGCTAAAGAATATTTTTCTGGTGCTCTTGGCCCCTATTTTAGTAAATATGGTAGTCTTCACCAATCCTCTTGTGTTGATACTTTGTCTCAAAATGGAGTTGCAGAAAGAAAAAATAGACATCTTCTTGAAACAACAAGGGTCTTAATGTTTGAAATGCATGTTCCAAAATATTGGTGTGCCCATGCTGTTTCGATGGCTTGCTTCTTGATTAATCGCATGTCTTCATTAGTTCTTAAGGGTGAGATATCTTATTGTACTTTATGTCATACGCAACCTTTATTTTCTCTTAAACCTAAAATCTTTGGTTGCACTTGTTTCGTTCAGTATGTTCGCCTCTAGCTCACCAAATTGGATCCTAAGTCGTTGAAATGCATTTTCCTTGGTTATTCTCGTGTTCAAAAAGGGTTTCGATGTTATTATCTCGATCTAAATAGATGTCTTGTTTTTCCTGACGTTACGTTCTTTGAAGATACTCATTTTTAAACATCCTCAAGTACCAGTCAGGGGGAGCATTCACAAGATGATGATGACTTTCTTGTCTATTCCATTGTCTCCACTTCTACTGATATACTTCCTAGCGATACATCTCTCATTGTGCCTGATCCTTCTCTCCCACCTATTACTCAAGTTTATTCTTGACGGCAACCTCCTTCGAACTCATGCTCTATACTAGCAGCTTTATCGTCAGTGGATCTAGGAACGAGTGTTGATCTTCCTTGCTCTTAAAAAAGGTAAGCGTAAGTGTACTTATCCTGTTTCTTCTTTTGTTTCATATAACCATTTGTCATCGCCTAATTGCTCGTTTATTGATTCCCTTGAGTCTGTATTTGTTCCTAAAACTGTTCATGATGCTTTGTCTCATCCTGGTTGACGGGTTGCCATGTTGGAGGAGATGACTGCCTTGATGACAATGGTACTTGGGATTTAGTGTCTCTTCCTATAGGAAAGAAACCTATCGGTTGTAAATGAGTGTTTGCTGTTAAAGTTCATCCTGATGGATCAATTGCCTGTTTGAAAGCTTGTCTTGTTGCTAAAAGATATGCGCATACTTATAGAATTGATTATTCTAATACTTTTTCTTCGGTTGTTAAATTGGCTTTTGTCAGGTTATTCATTTCCTTGACATCTATTCACCGTTGGCTCTTGCATCAGATTGATATTAAAAATGCATTCCTCCATTGTGTTCTTCAAGAAGAAGTGTGCATGGAGCAACCACGAGGTTTTGTTGCTCAGGGGATAATGGAAAGGTATGTCGTCTTCGTAAATCCTTATATGGGTTGAAACAAAGTCCGTGAGCATGGTTTGGAAAATTCAGTCAGATGATTGAGGAATTTGGAATGAAGAAGAGTAAGTTGGACCATTCTGTTTTCTATAAACAATATGAGTATGATGTTATCTTACTAGTTGTATATGTTGATGATATTGTGATTATTGGTAATGATTCATCAAACATCCTATCACTCAAAACTTTTCTTCATAGTCAACTCCATTCTAAGGATTTGGGAGTGTTGAAATACTTCTTAGGAATTGAGGTAATAAGGAGCAAAAATGAGATTCTCTTATCAAAGAGAAAATATGTACTTGACCTATTAACAAAAACATGAAAGTTAGTTGCTAAGCCACGTAGTACCCCAATGATACCTAATTCACAACTTACAAAGGAAGGAGAGTTGTTGAAAGATCCTAAGAAGTATATGAGGTTAGTAGGGAAGCTGAATTACCTTACAGTTACTAGGCCATACATAGCTTATCCAGTTAGTATTATGAGTTAGTTTATGAGTTATCCTATGACAAACCTTTGGCCGCATTGGATAACATATTCTATGTTATTTGAAAGGTGCTCCTGGACGTGGTTTGTTATATAAAGATCACGGTCATCTTTTGAATGTTTTTCAGATGCTGATTAGGCAAATTCTAAGGAAGATAGAAAATCAACCTCAGGATATTGTGTATTTGTCGGAGATAATTTAGTTTCTTGGAAAAGTAAGAAATACAATGTGGTGTCGCGTTTGAATGCTGAATCAGAATATAGAGCTATGACACAGTCGGTATGTGAATTAGTATGGATATATCAACTTTTTACTGAATTAGGATTTGACATTACCACTCCAATGAAACTTTAGTGTGATAATCAAACAACTCTCCATATTGCATCTAATCCAGTATTTCATGAATGAACCAAACACATCGAAGTCAATTGTCATTATGTACGTGAGAAAATATAGCAAGGATTGGTGGCTACAGGAAATATGAAGACTTGAGAGCATTTAGGAGATATCTTTACAAATGCATTGAATGAAGCACGAATAGATTGTCTCTTTGACAAGCTGGACATGATTAACATATATGCACCAACTTGAGGGGGAGTGTTAGAGTCTATATTAGTATATTTTATATTATTGTATTAATACGTATTAATTTGTCATTTACCATTTCTTTTACAGGATTAGGTCAACCTTGTATATTTGTCTATACATAGACTTCACTAGTGAGAATAGACTATATTGAATTTTCTCAAACCCTAGTGTTTACAAGAACCATGATTGCATGTGAAGATGTGGCGCCATATTTCCATCACGATTTGTATGTTTGAAACATACTACTACAAAATCTTCAATTCATTATCTAATCTTTTTCACGAGGTCCCCAATTTTGTTAAGGATCTCTTCTTTCGAAATGATGAGGTGAAAAACATGCAACTTGGATCGAGCATAGACCCAAGTCTTTTGCCACTTTTATTGCTTCGAAGACTACCATGGCTACTGTGTAATCAACCTCTGTAACGTGAGGTATTGTCTTTACATAGCATGCTTAGACTTTGCCTTTATAGATTTTAATAGATATTAATTCTACAACAATGTCATTAGGTCAAACATTTTTTTTAGAAAATGTTTGTATAATGTCCATATGATTTATTTTTCCTAAAATTTATAATGATAAAATTTTATAATATCATTATTTTTTTTTCTCAATTTGTTTAATATATTTCTTTAACTAAATAAAATATTACTAACAATTTTAAAATATAATAGAAGATAATCTTTGAAAATAAGTAGTCATAAAAAAATTAAAAATCACAGGTAATTTTTCTTTTTCAAAAACTAAAAGTTGAATAGAAATTTAAAAATTAGCAGTCTAAAGTAATTACTTTCTTGCTAAAAATATTTTGAGTGAAATATATTTTATAATTTTAAAATAAAACTCAATATCTCTTTCATGAAAATAAAAAATTTTGTAAAATAATAATTAACTTATTTTTTTTTTCATTTGGGAAACTAAAGATTTTACATCATTTTTTAATAAAGATTTTCCACAAAATATCTCGAATAAATAAAGGGTTTTGGACTGAATAACCATTTCCACAACGATTGATTTTTACTTACTTTGATCAAAACTCATGTTTTCTAATCTTTCGCTACATCACTTATATACAAAATAACTCTTGCTGTCATTCCATTAGTTTTTTTAGATTTCTCCTTTTATTTTCCTTTGTCTATTTTTCCAGATTTCTCTCTCTTATTCCCTCTCTCTCTTTTTCTAGATTTTTTTTTCTTTCTCTCATTTTCCATTAACCTATTTCTTTGTTTTCTCTTCCTTATTTTCTTCTCTTTTGTCATTCTTATCTCTTTCTCTCTCTTTTGAAAAACTATGAGTATTTTTCTTTCATTCTCTCTAAAATTTTCTTCGGATTTCTCTTTCCTTTTTTTTTAACTAGCAGCTTCCATGATTTCAGTGGCATTCAATAGTCGCTGACACATGCATCAAAGCCGACGAGAGAGGTCGTTCGTTGGAGAAGAAGGTTTAGGAGAGGAAAAGGGAAGGATATAATCTATCGAAATAAACCAAGAGAGAAGAGAGGGGAGAGAAGATAGGGGAGAGAAGAAAGAGAGAGGGACGGAGGGAGAAAGCGAGAGGGACAGAGGGAGCGAAAGAGAGATCGAACAAGCTCTCTCTCCCCCCTCGATCTCTCTTTCCCCCTCTCCCTTTGTCCCTCTCGCTCTCTCCCTCCGTCCCTCTCTCTCTTCTCTCTACTCTCTCCTCTCTCGACTTTGATGCATGTGTCGGTGACTATGGAATGTCATCAGAATCATGGAGGTTGCTGGTTAATTAAAAAAAAAAGAAAAGACAAACCCCAATAAAATTTTAGAGAGACTGAAAGAAAAATACCTATAGCGTTGCAGAAGAGAGAGAAATAGAGAGGAATGAAAAAAGAGAATAAAATAAGGAAGAGAAAACAAAGAAAGAATGAGTTAATGGAAAATTAGAGAAAGAAAAAAAGAATCTCGAAAAAGAGAGAGAAATCTAAAAAATGAGTGAAGAGACAATTAGAGTCATTTTGTATCTAAGTGATGTCAAAACATTATTAAAAAACTTTGAGTTTTGAAAAAAGTGGGTAAAAATCAATCCACCCTTGTGAAAAAGGCTATTCAGCCCAAAAACCCATAAATAAAAGAAGTTACCTACTCCAGTTTTTTTAGTATTATATTTATCGTTACATTTAATAGCTATTCCATGATGAGTATAATTCACATTTTTCTTTTTTTTTTAATTTCTAACTTTTTTAGTTCAATCATGTCATATATTACTATTTTTAAATGAAAATTAATTTGAATTTTAGTATTAACTATAAGATAGAAAAAGTTATTCAAAAAAAGGTTTGAAACTATACATATATATACATGCATTTAAATTTTAATTATCTAGGATGTTTTTTTTTTATCATTTTCTCGATTTCATTATTTTTAAAATTCATATAAAATATTAAATAGTTAAAGCAAAAATATAGAAGGTATACTCATTCAAATTTGAAATTTCACCGTAACTCCATTCTAGAAATTTTAATCCACGTGCAATGAGTCAAAGTTTACTCAAATTTACATATTAAATTTTAAAAAATGAGTCAAAATTAATTTTTGTATTAAAAAAAAAGGTTACTGTCACTGATCTTCCGTCCAAATTTCTCCTTATTCCTCCCAAACTCCCAAGGAAGAGACACCACGAAATATGAACCGAAACAGACGGGACGGCGGAGAAGATGAGAACGGTTTACTGTGGAAGCTTCCAGTTCTGAAATCTGCCCGACTCGGAAAGTTAGGCCCCGCCTTCGGTTTGGGCGTGGGCTGCGGCGTCGGCTTCGGCGTCGGCCTCGTCGGAGGTTGATTCTCCATCCTTTTCTTTGAAAAATTTTGTTCAGGAACCCCTCTTGAATTCACGTCACTTCACTGTTTCAATTAGATTAGGGGAATCCTTTTGTTTAATGCGCATTTCGGTTAATTGAAAATTTCGCCCTCATGGATTGTTCGAACCCTGCAACTTACTAAATTTGCTTGAGTCGGATTGGAAGTATTCTTATTGAATTGCAGGGTGAGGTTATTCATTATGTGTAGTGTTTAATTGGTTTGGGTTATAGTCGTTTCAAGATGATTTGTTGGGTTTTTGTGCCTTTTACTGCCTCTGATGGTTGTCCTTCAACAATATTTTCATGTTTCTTCCATTCCTGTTGAAAGAATATGGGTGTCTGTCAATTATGTAGCTTTATTATTATTGTATTTTCCCCAGTTTAGGAAGCGTTCTTGACCTTGTTTTGAAGAAGCAAAGCACACGGATAAACAGAATACAGGATCACAACATTTTTTTTCTATTTATTAACGATAGGATAGAAAGATGCTTTCATTGAAATATATTTTAACACCTTGCAGTGAATTATGCATAATGATATATGTAAATTTATATGCAGTGCACTCTCATTCTCATTGTAATTTAGTTTTATGTAAATTTCAACATAAGATAGGGAATGTTATCTTGTAGGACGCAATCTACTCCAAAGATCACCAAAATGAATAAAGTGTACCACAGGAAAATAACAAAATTTCCTTACAAAAATACTCAAATGCCCAAATAGGCATTTTTTCCGTTAATTTATTATTATTTCATAATCTTCTTCTTCTTCTTTTGTTTTTTTCTTTATTCATTCCTTCTTTTTTTAGTCTATCTGCAGGTCTTTTAATGTGTTCGTTAAAATGATTTTTGTCCTTTAACGTGGATATAACTGCAATGTATGATTTCCTTTCATATTCTTTCTATGATCCCGATGGTTTTCCTTTAGTAAGTTTTCACTATTTATGTATATAAATGTTTGTTTGTATAATTGTAATCAATATGAAAAGCTTTTGCCATTCACGCAAGTATGTCTATCCAACACTCTTTTTTTGTCTTTTCATTTCATTTGATATATGACATCTATGTATAAACTCTTATGGTGGGGAGGGTGTTTATTTATCTCAGGTTCTATATATACTCATCAGGTACTTGGCTGCATGTTTTAAGCTCTATCTAAGCTTGTAGAGGGATCTTTGTGGACCAAAATCCCAAAATGTACTAGGTTTTAGAAATTGCACTCCACAAAGTTCTTTCCAACTTGACGGGGAATAAATTCTCCCTATCCTTTGTGATAATATGTTCTTAGTTTTCTTTTTGATAATAAACATTATATTAATGAGAAAAAGGAGTCTAAAAGGAGTTGCGAAGATGAGGCATTCTTTGCATTGCATCTCCCACATGCACATGCACACCTTTACAAAAATAAAGAAGAAAAAGCTATCATGGATCTTGGTTTTCGATAGAAGGTCGGGCTTGAGTTCAACTGATACATATTATAAGTCTGCAAATAGTGTTCGATCAATTACGTATTAATCAATAATTCTTTCGAACTTTACATTGTGGTGGACTATCCTTGTTTAATTTAAGCTACTATAATAGATGTAAATGCAAAAATTGTTGTCCCCTCTAGGTGCTGGATTTGGTCCGGGAATTCCAGGATTACAATTTGGCTTTGGTCTTGGTGCTGGATGTGGAGTTGGCTTAGGATTTGGCTATGGTGTTGGCAGGGGCATTGCCCAAGATGACAGAAGGAGATACTCTAACGTTGGGGATCTATTACACGGTCAAGGTCATCAAAGTATTTTTTCTCAGTAAGTTCTAAAAGACTAATTGTTTTCAATTTGTGATCATCATGTTCTGTTAATCCATGTATTATAAGTTAGGGATAAAAACCTTTATAGTGCTGATGTGGTTCTGGTGGCATGGCTTTTTTTCTAGAAAAGGTGGCAAATTCTTATGAAAAGAGGCTTCAAAATGGTCCTTTTTTATCTCCTCTTTCTCTCCCCTTTATCTTTCTCTTCCAACTCTCTTTAACCCATTTAGCTCTCTTTTCACTCTGTTTCTCCCTTCATGATCCTTCTCCCCCTTTTTTCTCCCTTTTCCCTATCTTGTGATTCACTTTCCACATCTACCTCTATCAAATTATGTATTACAATAAAAATAGCATTCTTTGTCTTTCCATCTTCTTGATCCAACTCAGTTCATCTTCTTTCAGTAACTTGGAATGATTGGGGTCAACCTAGACGCAAGTTCTGGGATCCCTTTCATTTTTCTCATTTCCAACACATTTCTGTGGCCATTTGAGTGAAATAGCCCTACAAATGATAGGGCTTAACACCACCACTCTGTATTTTGTAAGAAGCCAACCCAATTTGCACAGAAATCCACAAGCATATTTATGCTTTTGTTTCTTATTCTTAGAACCCTTTTATTTAGTCTTGTTTGGCTTTTGCCTTTGTTTTGTTTTGTCATGGTTCTGCTTTAACCCTTCGGCTATTCATTTTTTTCTATTGCTTGTTGTATATCCATCCTCTGCTTTATGAAAATATGATTTTTTTTTTCTTGGAATGTTGTGTTAAGAACGAGTGGGTAAAAAGGGGCTTCGAATAGTAGTTTGAAAGCAAGGAATAATGTGTTCTCCTTTCTATACACTTCCCCTATGAACTTTTTGTTAACCAATTCTTTGCATGCACTCTTTCCCAATGTTTTAAAAGTCTTAAAGCGGCCTCAAGCTTTTTCTCAGCGAGAGCTTCGAGGCGGTATGAGGTGTAGGCATCATTTTAAATAAGGAATCATAAAAATTTTAAACTTTGCATTATAAAAGTACAAAGCATACTTAAAAATTCTAACAACAAAAAGAAATATCTCAATAGTCCATTGATGAACATTAGTACATCTAACCTTTCAGAATCATTATCACTAAAAAATAAAAAATAAACCAAAAAAAAGAAAATTGGAAAACAAGTTGAGGCGAAAAGAGAGGAAGAAAAGGGAGAAACAAAACTAAAAAAAAGAAGAAGAAGAAAACTTGCTACCCTTAATACTGTATGTAATAACCAAAAGAAAAAAGAAAAAACAAAGGAAATCAGAGTAGATAGGAGGGAAAGAGAAGAAAAAGAAAATTTTAACGTACTGTTTCTTGCAGTTAATCTACTGGTTGACATTTTTATTCATTGTACAAATGAAGACAAACTAGGTTTGTCTTTTAGTCTAGGTTGCTATTTAATTATAGAATAATAAGATTTTTAAGTTTAAAATAATATATCAAACAAATGTCTAAGACAATTATTTCTTTGTYAGGGCACTAAACCACATTGTTAATTGCACCACCTTATTAATTTCACCCCACCACCGCCAAACCACCGCCAATGACCATTTTCCTTTGAGGCTGACGCCTTTTAAGCCTCAAAGGCTTAAGCACAGAGGCTTACGCCTTTGATATCTAAGGCATAAGCCTCTTTTTATTTGTTATAGGCGTAAGCCTTGAGGCATGATATAGCCGCCTCACCTCAAGGCGTAAGCCTCGACCGATTTTTAAAACATTGCTTTTTCCCTATTTCTTTAGAATTATTGCCCTTCTGCTTTCATCCTAGGTATATAGGATTTTTAGCTCGGGTTTGGTCCAGTTGGGTGCTTTTTCCGGGTGGCTTGACCTATGTCGCTTCCTTGGCTCTGATTCATGTGAACCTACTTGAGAAATTTCACACATAAGAGTGGCTTGCATTCTTTAGGTCTCAACTCCGGAGAGTAATTGCTTCATTGGTGTCGGACATTGAAAATTTGAAAATACTCAAACTCTTGGGTAGGGGTGTTCACGGGTTGGGTTGGGTTAGAGGGGTTTTTTGGACTGGGTTGGTCAAATTAGAGAATCGATGGAACCGAACATGACGGCCAACCCTACCCTTATATTTTCGGGTTGGGTCCTTGAGTTGAGACGAGAGAGTGAGGGGAGTTGAACGAAAGATGATTCAGTCAATCCTAAATGTCGTAAGTTGCAGAAATCGATTGTTCATCGTC